TAATGACTTGTAATGTCAATCACGTATTTTTAACATTAATTCGTAAGTGAAGAACATTGTTTCTTAATATCAAAATATAGTTTTTATGAATTTTTTTTGGTTGTGACACTTTTTAACAATCAAAATCGTAAAGATTGGTGCATTTTTCTGGACTCTCAATTACTTTAAATTAACAAATATGGATAATCTAAAAATATGTTCAATATTTGGTCGCACCAATTTACTTGGCAAAAATAATAGCAGAAATGATGTTTCAAAAGGCCGAAATAAATTTATTTTTATAGGCAGGAGTTAGCATTTTTTGTATTGAATGTTCGAAAATTTTTACCTTCCTTCTTTATAGATTTTTTTTTTTTCTATTATAGAGGATATTATCACCTTCCTTTCAATTTTTTTACAAATCCCTCTTGCAATAGCAAGAATCTTATCCTCCGAATTTAAAAGAATAGCTTTGGATTGATTTTGAAGTGTAAATTAAATTAAATGTCATACACATCATATTACAATAATCCGTCTGGTACGGGTCAGGAATCGATGCAAGATAATAATAACAATAACAATTATACTACTAATCTTACTCCACGAAGGAGTATTCTGGGACATGGTGGTCGAAACCAACATCAAAATGTTCACGTACATTATGAATTAAATCAACCGCAAGATGTTTATCATACATCCGATAATGAGAAAGGAGCCATAAAATACCAAAATGTTGATGATGTGGAAGCTCCTAAAAAAATTAACAAGCAAAGAAATCAAATTATCACAAAAAGTCCCGTGAAATGGTATAGAAACACGAGAGCGGTTTTACAGATGTTTAAATCAAATTTCTTATTGATTTTTCTCCCTCCCGCAATCATCATGAAAAAATTTGGTGTAAATGAAAATGTATTATTTTTCTTCAACTTTTTGGCTATTATCCCTATGGCAAAAATTATGACCGTGGGCATAAACGATCTCTCCGCAAGATTACATCCGGTAAAGAATCGATTTATTTTATTTATTCTTTTTTTTATATCCATATCGATGATTTTTTCTAAGACCTTTTTCTCGACCTTTATTTTCTAGGCTTATGGGGCAGTACTTCATGCCTTTGCGGGAAATTTTGTTGAACTGGTAATTTCGTGTTATGCCTTAATGGACAAACAATATGCAATTGTTCGTTCTTCCGTGCTTGGCGCCATCTTGTGTAATATTTTGTTGGTACGTTTTTCAAAAATTTTTTCTTTTTTGACACTTTCGTATGGCGCAGCATAACCTTAATTAAACCGTATAGATCCTGGGTGTCGTATTTTTGGCGGGATCCTGGCCGAAAAAGGGAGATCGCCGTCAGTCCATGAATGCGCATTTAAAAACGCAACTTTTCGTTTCCACAAGTGCTTCAACACTCGCTCTTGCAGTTCTCGCCTTAGTAACACCGGCAGCATTTAAAATTGCCGCTCCAGCGGGCACAGGCATTGAATGTGATTTACAAAACATTAGTCATGCTACTGCGATTATTCTACTATTCGTGTATGCCGGGTTATTGGTCTTTCAATTGAAAACACACGCTCAAGATGTAATAATCTCGTTTGTAAATTATCGTTATCACTGAATGAATTTGCTTATTAAGAAAATGCTTTAATCTTATTTAGACCGTCGATCCTGAACATCACAAGCATGAAGCACAATATTTCCTTGTATTTGATATCTTTTTGTAAGCATATATGTTTTTATTTATTTTGATTTAATCCGTGTTAGGATTCGAAAATTACATTTCAACTCAAAATGAACTACGTTTTTGTAGAATCGTCGCTTCTATTTCAGGTATTACCGTGTGTGCTAGATACTTGGTTACAAGTATTGAACATTTGGCACACAGTTTCCATTTTGGTAACGGATTTATTGGAATGGTACTTTTGCCCCTTTGTGGTATGGACAACGTTTATCAAAGATTTAAATGTCAGCTTTAATTTTTTTTTAATTTGGATCTAAAACAAATTCTTTTTATTCTTTATATAGTTGTTTCCAATTTCATGGAACATTATGACGCTATTAAAGAAGCTTCGGAAGACAAGGTTGACACTGCCGTCAGTTTAATTCTTAATACATCAGTTGTAAGTAATCTTTTTTTAATAACATAAATAATCCTTTTAAAACATTTCAAGTAGAATAATAATATATTTACACATTCTTTTTGGGGGTTGAAGCAAATTGCACTTTTGGTCACACCAGTCCTAGTACTTGTTGGATGGATGACATCAAGACCTTTGACATTAGATTTTAACACTTTGGAAATTTGTGTGTTGGCTTGTGCTGTGTTAATTGTAAATTATCTAGTTGCGGATGGTAAAGCAAATTGGTTAGAAGGTTATATGCTTATAGTAAGTAATTTATTATTGTGATTAAGATTAAAAAAATATATATTTTTTTTTAATTTAATATTTTGTTTATTAATTTTCTGTAGGTTTCTTATATCATTATCGCGGTTGCATTCTTCTATTTCCCTAATGTACCTGAACTTAAAGAAAACTTGAAATGTAACCCTTGGAGTAGAAATCTTCCACCGGAATTATTAGAAATTTCTTCTTCTGAAGCGGCCGGACATTAAATCATTTTATCTAATTATTTTTTCCTTCCTTGATAAAGGAAAAAAATCGTACTTGCACAATTTACAATTCAAAACTTCAAATTCAATTCATATCTTTCAAACGTCTCTTCTCCTATATCCTCCAAAATCTTCTTCATCCGTTTCTCTTTGTTCGTTCCTTTTCTCCTATCGCCGTTAAATTTCCTACTATAATAGAAAAATCATCCATTATACTCGCCTTTTTTTTTTTTTTATTATTATTATTTTTTTATTCATTTCCTTTTTTTGTGAGGTTTATATATAAATGGGCAATAAAGGAAATGAGTTAAATTATATTAAAAAAAATCCAATTCATTGGATAACAATTTCTTTACTTAATTTATAATAAAGCCGTGACTTAAACTACCTAAATTGATTAAATCCCAGTGGCATAACATGTGACAAAAAGTATCGTATTTCAAAATTTATCACGTGACACCGATTTCTCATGAAAATTGAATCTTTAAAGCATTCAAACTAAAAAGTTGTACATCAAAAATTACAATTTATTGTACAAAATGGGTCATCTAATACAGAAATTTATCAAATATTATAAATACCAAATGTTTCTAATTAATAATCTGAATGTCTATCTATATTTCCAAAAATTCTGCTATTACTGCAAATGATAGAGATTCTCCTTTCAAAAATTCATTTTTTTCATTTTTTTTTTTTTTTTTTTTTTTAAGAAAACATCCATCATTTTTTTCTCGTCACTACTTTATCTGATAATTGAATTAAAGCATCACGAGCATCGGATTCGGGTAATTTTAGAATGGCATCAATGGCCTTTTGACAATGTGAAACGGCCAATAACTTTGTTTGCTCAATTCCATTGCTTTGATAAACTAATTCTCGTGCCTATCAAAGTTACAAATGAAATCAGCGTAAAGATTCGTTTTTTTTTTTTAAAAAAAAAAAAAAAAGAAAATTTTCTACTCTTACCTTTTCCACATCTCCTTGTTGAGAAAATTTACGTTTTATCAATGGACCCAATTCGGAATATTTCTCCCACGCATATAATACGGGAGCAGTTGCCAAACCCAACTTTAGATCTGCACCGACAGGTTTACCCAACTCTTTTGCACTAACAACAAAGTCTAACATATCATCAATTAACTACACATAAAAACACAAAATGTTATATATTAGGGTAAAAAATTATAAATGAATCAATCAATAAAAATACAATATATGTATATGAGTGAATAAAAAAAAAAAAAACCTTCGGAACCTTCTTACTTGAAAAGCCAAACCTATATTTTTACCATAAGTATAGGCAATTTCAGATATTTCTCGAGTAGATCCACCTAATACCGAAGCTCCGCAACAACTTTTTGCGATTAAACTAGCAGTTTTCATGTAGGTTTTCTCCATGTAATATTCAAAAGGTGTCATGGTCGTATCCGAAGTAGTTTTCTTCGATGTTTGAATATTTTTAAGTTGCATAAATTCGCCTTCAACCAGGTTGGCAATAACGGTGGCTATCAGCTCAATGACTTCGGGATTACGTAAGCGAGCCAACGCGACTGATGCTCTAGCTAACAAGAAATCTCCTGCCAGTATAGACATCTTATTACCAAAATTTATATTGACGGAAGGTTTGTTACGTCTGGTTTCGGATTCATCAATCACGTCATCATGCAATAATGATGCCGTATGAATGATTTCTGTAATCTCTGCCAATCTCCTTTGGGTGGGAAGAATTTTACCCGTAGGAGAGTGCTTCGAAGAAGATGATGATGAAGTAGTGTCATTATAGTTTTGTGCTTCGAACGATGAAATTAGTGGTGATAATGGCTCGTTTATTATTGGAGAATGGTCTATGGGAGCGGGATTATGCTGTTTTGGAGCTATGCTTGTTGCTTGCGACATTAATAATACGATTAAAGGTCTAATACGTTTTCCTTCGGACAAGAAATAATAATTACTAACATTGTCTAATGATGGATGTCCACTTCCTAAAAGTCTCTTGATGTTATCCGTTAAATCCGATAAATCTAAAAGTTTAAATGGATCGATATCTGATGTGCCTCCTCCAACTTGAATTGTTTTTTCCGCTTCCGTTATCGCTTCATTCCAAGTTGTCCCCACTCCACTTATTTTAAATTTATCATCTATGACAGATTCTCTTTCTCTGAATATCGATGATTTGACCGTATTTAATCCATTCGTGATTCGTTTTAGAAATGTTGAAGGTACCTCTTTGGCTGTATCGGTTGCTGATGTATATATTGATGCTGCTATCGATTTTGTTATTTTTATCTCGGAGCGTGAATGCGTTCGAATACATTCACGTATTGATACAGATATTTGTCTAGAACCGTTACGCAGCATTCTCCATTAAAGTTATTTTGAAACAAAATTATGTCTATATATTTATTTCGATTTATTCTAAATTAAGAAGTAATTGTTTGAAATATGATAATTTAATATATTAATTAACCAAAGGAAAAAAAAAAATTAAAATTAAATGGATCAAAAGTAATTAAAAGTTGAACAAAAAAAAAAAAATCAAAAAATAAATCTAAATACAAAAATTTTTTTTTTTTTTTTTTTTTTTTATTATTAGGATTCTCGATCTTATGAAAATACGGTTATTGCAGAAATTTTGTAGCCGATCATTCTTGATTTAGATAAAATGAGGTACATGAAGAATAAACTTTTAAATTTTCCCGCGATTATATTTTTCCCGCGAGTATCAATATCACATGATTTATAAATTATATTTAATATAAACTTTTCTTATTAATAATATATACCATACATAAATGCAATAAAAATCTTTAAAATAATAATAACTTAAATTAATTTTATATAACTCAATTTTTCTCTTTTTTGTCTTCAGGCAAACCTTCTTTTGGCGGTCCATCGTAAGCTGGTGGTGCATCGTCAGGTTGTCCAAGGAAGAATCCACCAACAAAACCACCCGGTGGTTGCGGTGAAGGAGCGGCTTGACCGAATTGTCCTGGCGGAGGAGGTTGTTGAAAACCGCCATATGGACTTTGACCTTGTTGAGCTTGTCCATAAAATGGTTGTTGAGGATTATAGAACGATTGTTGATAATATTGTTGACCATAATATCCTTGTTGAGATGGAGGTCCAAACCCACCAAATTGTGGAGGAACATGTGGTGCAGTAGGTCCAGGTCCATTTAGTTCTGTAGAATTATTTGAAGAAGTGGTATTAGGAGGTTCTTCAATGATAGTACTGCCTTCCGATAAAACTGGCACGTGTCCCACAACGCTACGGGTGGAAGATGAAGGATCTGAAAGATTCGTTGTAATCGCCGGTGATATTTTTAATCCTGCAAGCTGATCCTTTATACTAGAAATGTCATCTTCTAATTTACCAATCTTGTCTTCTTTTTGGTCAATTGTTGTAGATTTAGATTTAAGTGTTTCCTCCAACTCCTTTATCACTTGACTCAACTTCCCTTTTTCTGTTGCTACACCATTAACGTCGACCTGAAGTTTTGAAATAATCGAATCTCTTTCTCTTAGCGCGATCTCGTATTCTTGTTTTTGAGAAATTAATGCATTATACTGTTTTAATTGTTCCTCATATTTTTTCTTTGAAGCTTCTAGTTCTGCAGAAATTTCATGAAATTTGGTATTAAATTCTTGTTTATGAGATTCAAGAGCTGATGCCGCATCAGCACTTTTTCGTTCGGCGGTCGCTTTTTCTGTCTGTAATGCGGTAGATAAATCGTTAAGTTGCGCTTCATACCCCTCCTTTTGTGCCGCTAAAGCAGAGGTCAACTCATTAATTTGTGCTTCGTAATCTCGTTTTTGATTCTCTAAACTTGTAGCAAATCCGGTCACTTGAACTTCATGCTCATCCTTCAAAGCATTCATGTTGGTCATAAGTTGACTAATTTTTGCTTCATATTCCGTTTTTTGAGCTGCTAACTGTGCTGGAGCAGTGTTGGTTAAAGTTGGTAAAAGAGGTCTGATTTCTGAAGAGGATGGTTGCCAACGATGTAGAGCAAGCTGACAATCTTTAATCGTTTGTTGAGTTATCTCGAGACCTGAAAAATAAAAAAAATAAAAATTTTTTTTTTCAATCGACACAATCATTGAACCTACTTCCCTTGATTTTTCAAATTATTTTTTTACCTTTGTATGGTAATTTTTGTTCACCAGGTTTAGTAGGAGTTGCATCAATTTGTTCAACAAGATCCCAACCAAAACCAGAAATAATAGCAGTTTTTTCTGCCGCTTCAAATGTAGCGTTTAAATGAACTGCTATCGCTTCTTTAAATTTTCTTCTTCTAATATTGGCAACATCATTTTCATCAGCCAAAGCGTCATGATTAACCATTTTAAGATCAGCTTCAAGTTCAGCAATTCTAGGTGATTTTGGATGTGACTTCATTATTCTGTTTATTTCATCGTTAATCTTTCGTTTTTTTTCTTTATGAACGATAAGTCGTGCTTCAGCTGTACGAATTTCTTTAATAATATTTCTATAATGCTCATATTTTTCTGTAAATACGAAAAATAAATTCCGGTTGGTAAAAATATAATTGGGATCATACTTTCAATTATTTTAATCATTATTTCTTACCGGTCATTACGATCTCAACGTCTGAAATTTTCGTTAATAAATCAGCTAATTTTTCGGTAATATCCTATATACATATAAAAAAAGGACTCGTCAATATTGCGAGATGCATTCATTAATACTTTTTAATGTCTTATAATTAAGTTCACTTACGGCAATGTCATCGCCACTATCTTTTCCCCATATATAAATATATTTACTCGCTAAATATATATGTATAAAAGAATAATGATTTAAAATACATTTCCAATGAAGCAAGACAAAAAAAAAAAAAAATCCTTGGATTCTTTAAGGCGAATGATTGTTGTAAACAAACCTTCTCTTCTTTCAGTTGCAGCATTCTGTAAACTCGTCAAAACATTTTTCTCTTCCTTCAAGTAGAGAGTAATGTTCTTCAAGTCTTCCGGTAACCTAGGGTCCAGTTTAGAAAGATTACTACGAACACCATGGGATAAATTATCCTTGGTAAAACCTTTAAGAGTATCTAGAAACGTAGGTTGTCTCCCTTCTGAGGGGGGTGGAACACTTAAACTACTCATTTATTTTTTTTTTTTCTCGGAATTCGTTGGCGAAAAAAACAATAAGTTAATGTTAAGGATTTTAGATCATTTTTATATCATTCTTAGTCTGTGTCTATTAATAAACTGAGGTTACATAAACTAGCCACTCGATCAAATCATGGCGGGCGGTTGATGAACTCAGCCATTCCACCAAATTATTATTTTATTATAATTGCCATTTAAAGAAAGATAATTACCGGATCTTCTAGAACTTTTCTTTAATTTAAATATACTGTCTTTTAATTTCTACAAATGAATGATTATATATACTACTATACAAGTGAATTAAATAAATATAATAAATATGTAAATGAATAAAAATAAATAAATGCTATTCTATAAATTTTTTTTTTTTTTGGTAAAAAAAAAAAGGAAGAGAATCAATGATCATATGAATTGTCACTCCTTATTAATTCAAAATATTCTCTACGAAGGGACATCAATTCTTTATGGTTGCCAGATTCTACAATCTTTCCATGTTCCACTAGCGCTATTTTACTCACTTTTTTCACACTTTTTAAACGATGAGTGATCATCAAAATGGTACGACCTTGTTGAGCCTTGCTGAAAGTTTCTTGAACCAAAGACTCATTTTTTGTGTCCAATGCACTTGTAGCTTCATCAAGTATAAGAATCTTTGGATTTCTTAAAAGAACCCTTGCGATAGCGATCCTTTGACGTTCTCCCCCTGATAATTGAGATCCTGATGAACCAAGTTTTGTTTCATAACCATTTGGTAATGATGAAATGAAATCATGCATGTTGACTTGTTTGGCGGCGATCTCGATTTCTTCACGCGTTGCTTCATCTTTTCCATACGAGATATTTTCTGATATGGTCATATCAAACAATACCGGTTCTTGACTAACGATCCCGATATTCTCTCTTAACCATTTTAATTGAATACCTTTAATATTCTCACCATCTAACGTGATCGATCCGGATGTTGGTTCATAAATTCTTTGTAATAAGGCGGCAATGGTCGATTTCCCGTTTCCACTTTTTCCTACCAGAGCAACGGTTGTTCCGGGTTCTAACGTTAGATTTAATCGGTCAATAATTTTATCATCAGGTCTTTCAGCATATGAAAAGTTTACGTCCTTAAATATTATCTTGCCCTGCAGGTTATCAGGAAGAACGCCAACGTCATCCCGAACGGTAGGAAGATTAATTATGTACTGAATGGATTTGATGGCTTGTTTACACTTTGAATAGTATGGGATCGTAGAAAGGATACGCGAAGCAGACGATGTGCAAAAGATAATCAAAGTCCAAACCGTCAGCATCTTTCGAAGATCGTAAACTCCTTGAGAGATCAATTGAGCTCCATACCAAAACGTTATCGCTTTGGATAAATATGTTAACCCGTCCAAAAATCCTGCCGATAAACCAGAGATGAAAGCTCTTTTAATTCCAATCAGGAAAGGTCTCTCGAGTGCCGTTTGAAATTTACTTTCCATGACCGATTCAATGGCGAGCGAATAAATGGTCCTAATGTTTGAGATGGCTTGATAAAATTCATTTGCCGCAGTTTCGGTTGCAATCTTTTGTTTGGAATCGTACTTTTGTAAAATGCGGCTAGAGAATTCCGAAAATAAAATTGAAACGGGAACCAATCCGAATCCGATCAAGGCTAATTGCCATCCCACCACCAAAGACCAAATAGTCCCACCAACAAGTGAAACCAATTCAACGATAACATTACCGACAAAGTATCCAATTAGAGATTTCGTCGTTTGAATATCTGAAGTAAGCATCGTAGCCAATCTACCCGTAGCATTTTCTGATTTATCAAACCATGATTGCGGTTGACGTAATGCATTTCCAAATCCCATGTGTCTTAAACGAACCGTCCACCTTTCTGACGCCCTTTCAAGCAATAAAAACTTGAAAAATGCGGACATTCCCAATACCACGGAAATTAAAAGTACATAAGCGGCATATACCCTTGAACTGTTGAGAAGCTCATTTTTGTCTGGTATTGAATACGTACTTAATAGACTTGACAAGACAAATGAGAATGCGGGATTCGTAATTCCTTCGACTAATGCACTACAAATTCCAATCGCATAAAGCATTCTTTTATCCATAGTTTCTCTTATAAATTTAAAGATGTTCAATTTGGACTGTTTTGTAGTTGATGATTCATCGGAGTTTGTTACAATGACGTTTAAAATGTCTTCATCATCATTATTCTCCTCATAATAACTAAGTATATCATATAGAGTAGTGCGGTTATCAGAGAATGTTTCCGCGGGCTTGTCACTCCCATTCTCATAATAGTCCATAATATCATTAATGGTTCTTTGCGTCGCATGTCTTTTGACTTTCCCATTATCATCATCACTATATTCATCGAGATTCCAACTCGTTCGATCCTTTTTAATTATTCGAGAACGTCTAAGGGTGGTTCTGGTGGCCTTTGGTGCAAACATGTAGCCCATTCTTGGACTACTTGGTAAACCAAACGTAAAATGTCTCTTTAATCTAAGATCAATGTTTTTCAATTCATGCGTATTACGTTTTGGATCTGTGGGATATTCATTTGCAAGTTTACTATAATGTCCATTAAGATTCAATAATTCGGATTTTGTTCCGGACTCTACGATTTCACCCTCGTGCATTACGTAAACGAAGTCCGTATCACGAATACGTTTCAAATGATGCGTGACCACGATCGTAGTTCGATTGTTCCTGCAATTATCGAGAGCTTTTTGTACTTTTAAATCTAAAGTCAAATCAAGCGCGCTTGTTGCCTCATCCAATATAAGAATGCTCGGATCTTTGATTATGGCTCGAGCGATCGCAATTCTTTGACGTTGACCTCCGGAAAGGTTTTTACCCATATCGCTTAGATGATACTCGTAACCATTAGGAAGGGATCCAATAGTGTCGTGAATGCACGCGAGTTTACAAGCCTGAATGACCTCGTCCATCGTCACATTCCAATAATCGGCTCTACCATATGCAACATTTTTGAAAATGGTATCATCAAAGAGAACGGGTTCTTGACTTACCACACCGATCTGCTGTCTCAGCCACGTGGTGTCAAGTATTTTTAGTTCACGTTCATCTAATAAGATCAGACCATCGCTCGGTTCGTAAAGTTTTTGAATTAATTGAGTTATGGTGGATTTACCCGAACCACTTTGTCCAACAAATACGGTCGTCTTTCCCGCCGGAATATTTAAGGTAACCCCTCTCAATGCTGACGTATCCGGACGACTAGGGTATGAGAAACTGACTTGATTGAATTTTATGTTCCCTTTAATCTCGGGTAATTTAAAACCATTCAGATGTTGAAAATTCACCTTTGACACGCACATTAACAATTCATTTATGACGCGTATAGCATTCTTCGCTCTTGACATTGCGATTAACTTGGGCAACAAATACTCAAAATTATTTAACCCTAATAAACTGGCATAAAATACGCTAACAACACCACCCGGTGCCAATTTCTTGTCAGCTACCAATATCGAACCAAACCAAAATCCTTGAACGAATATGGATAAGGTCAAAAATTGTATTAGTCCCAACCTAATGGCATACACCCATGCCAGACGAGCCGATACGTTATCATTTGCTTCTTTTAAGCATTCATAATGTTTCTTTTCTTCCTTTGCTTCGCCATTAAATGCGCGAATCGTTTTGATGGCTGCGAGGGCATTTTCAAGTATTTTACCGGCTTTTACAAAAAGTTCACGTTGTTTTACGATTAATGGGTTTGCACTACGAGAAGTTAAAGCGATCGTAATAAAGACAAGTGGGATCGAAGCTAATATCACGAGGGTAAGAATGGCATTTTTCGTGAAGGCCAATATAAAACAACTTATGATTATGACAGCATATTGAACAAAGGATCCTAAATGATCAGATATGACGGTTTTTATGTCTTCGGTATCTTTATTCATACTTGCTAATAGTCCGCCAGAGGTTACCTCATTTACTTCAAAATAACTAATACCCATTTTTAATAAGGAATTAAAATAAATCAATTTCATTCTTTTTGCTTGCCTTTCACCAGTCCACGACCAGCACGTGATCATGCAAGTTGTAAGTATAAAAGATACGATTCCTAACAGTGTAAAATTAAGTAACAAGGAATTGATTCGCTGGTTAAATGTTTGTTTGGTTATAATTCCAGTCTCTCTTTCCGTGAACACCTCAAATATGTCGCCAAGGAAATTCGACATGAGAGGTATTATCAGACCACTTATCATACTAAAGAACGTTCCTAATGTCATGAGAACATAATCAAATAATGTTGCAAATCGAAAGATGTGAAAAAATGAAGTGGATATTATTCGTAATGGAGGTTTCATCACAGGTTTATATATAGATTTGGATCGACCTCCGGAATTACTCGGAAGTTTTTCATCATCTTCATTTGATCTTGCGGCATTTTGAACTTTATAATCGTTCATTGTATGTTAAGTTTTTGTAATTTATCTTTATTTTTATTTTCTTTTTTCGAAAAAAAATTCAAAGTATTTAAAGTAAAATGAAAAATCGTTCATATTTCAAAAATTTCGCGATTTATTCCTTTATAGGATGAACGAAGTACGGTAGATCCTGGGACAATAGGGTGCTAAAAATAGTAATTGTAATTTTATTATACTTTTAAACCATTCAAACTTTTAAAAATCGGTTTATACAGTATATCTTTTAAGTATTCGTGGGAAAAAGGTTTGTGCACTAATCATTTTGATGTCTCATTGTGTTTATTTAGCGTTAGGGACTAAAGACAATATAAAAGAAATGCGACGCATTTTTAAATCGATATATTATACTATTAAATTAAAATATTTTTTACTAAATTTAAATTAAATTCAAAATATATTTTTACTAAATTTAAAATTAAATTTAAAAATCGAAGTATAATAAGTTTAATGTTGGTGTAAGAAAATAAAATTCTAACCCTTCTTTGCAAATAAAAAAATAAATGTCCAAAATGCTAAATTTATCTACCAAATAAA